TGCTGGTTATTTCCGTAAGAAAAACAATAACTTTTTTAAAATAAAAATTGTTGTTATTGTTTTTCAATTGATTATAGTTTGTTAACTCTTTTTATAATTGAAAAATTATTGCTTAACCGCCAAATTTTTTTTTTCATTTCTTTAATTGACTTTTCTCACCACCAATTCATTCAGTTTTTTTTGTTTTGGTTAATGTTTCGCTTGGTTAATGCAGAAAACAAAACAAAATAAAATTAATTATATATTGATTAAAGTTTTCTTTTTTTAAAAAAAAATCATAAATCAAATATGATTGATTACATATTATGTAATCACATTCATATGTCATTGCATTAGTGCAATAATAATGATAATAGAATTCTTTTTTTTTATAAAAGTTCAACACAGGTTTTTAGTATTTTTTTTCAGTGAAAATTAGTTATTAATGAAATTATCAACTTTTTTTTGTTTGTTTGGTTATTATTTAGTTTGTGTATCATCATCATCATTTTTAAGGATTTTGATGCTGTGTTTTGACCGAAAAATAAAATCCAACAAAACAAAACAATTAAGGCCAAGATGATGATGATGAAAGTAGTGTGAAAGATATATCTAATCAAGAATAGAAAGTTATTTTTTTCTTCTTTCTTTCTGACCACCATTAGTATATATTTTGAAAATTCTAAATTAGATTTTTTTCATGTTTTTCTTGTTTGTGAGACAGGTTAATTACGATGTTTGTTTCGGAAAAAAAGATGATGATGACCTATTTCCAAATATAGAAAGAAAAAAGATATAAAATTTGGATTATTCACCAACGTCAATTTCCAAAAACAAAAAAACAAAAATCCAAACGGAAATAATCTTACCAGAATCATACGTAGAATATATTAATAATGAGAATTATAATCATTATTTTTTTGCACGTTTATAAAGTAATTCGATTGTTTGTTTTAATGTATCAACAGCAGTCAATAAATCATTAGCACGTATTGCATATAATGCACTTTCACATAATAATTCAGCACGTTTTGAATCCGATTCCGATAATGTTAATGATGATAATTCTTTTTCCAATTGTATTTGACGATCATCTTTTGGTTTAGATGCTGCTGCTG